GTTCCTGATACAGGCCAGGATGCTGTTGGCCTTCTTGGCCACCTGGGCACACTGCTGGCTCATGTTCAGCCGACAGTCGACCAACACCCCCAGGTCCTTTTCTGCCAGGCAGCTCCAGCCACTCTGCCCCCAGCCTGTAGCGCTGCTTGGGGTTGTTGTGACCCAAGTGCAGGACCCGGCACTTGGCCTTGTTAAACCTCATCCCGTTGGTCTCGGCCCATCCATCCAGCCTGTCGAGATCTCTCTGCAGAGCCTCTCTACCCTCCAGCAGATCAACACTGCCGCCCAGCTTGGTGTCGTCTGCGAACTTACTGAGGGTGCACTCGATCTCCTCGTCCAGATCATTGATAAAGATGTTAAAGAGAATTGGCCCCAGTACCGAGCCCTGTGGGACACCACTCGTGACTGGACGCCAGCTGGATTTAACTCCATTCACCACATTAGCTAATGCCTCAGTGCCCCATGAACGTGCTGGATTTTCACGACCTTAAATCACAGGCTGACTTGTGTATGCTGCTGCAGCAAGCTCAGCTTCTTTGCAAAACCTAACATCTGGGCAAATATTAGCAGAAATAGCAGTTTCAATTAATATATTTTTTTAGGCTCAACGCAAATTGTCACTGACGGAACTAGGCCTTAAATGCTACGTGGGAATTAGCTTTCCTAAAAACATAGCAACAGAAGAGACCTGAGCAGATGACCCACAGGTCACCTGTGAAATACCCAGCTCAGTGGAACCATATTTTATCTGTAACACAAATAATGGCGTATATAGTGTTATTTGTTAATTACTGCTGTACCACGTAACAAGCAAAAGGTTATGCGAAACAAGAAGCGGATTCTAAAGCAATAGAGAATCCTATTATGAGTTCTAATCACTAAAGAAAACATCTTTTGTAAGGGTTTAAATATAACTCTCTTGCTTTTGAAATCTTCTGATGAGCTAGCTATTACTAATGTCGAAAGGTGACGCCTGTCAGCCAGGAACTACATTAGAGTCCATAATTGAATTTCAAGAGTTGTCAAGAGCAGACTAATAAAATCACTGCTAGTAGAAATGATGTATGAAAAAAAAACAACCAAGAAAGTTCTGGTCTGGCAGGATGCAAAGTATGTTTTGTGGTTTCCCTATGTCATTTCAAATAATATGTTCAATTTTTCTGGGCTGCATTTCTCTGACATTCTTCTCTTGTATAATAATGATTCATTATATATAATTTATTCAAGGACTGTAACTCACCTCTAAGTGCCTATAAATATTACTGCAGCTAGACATTTGCATTGTAAAACAACTGCATAACACTGGGATTTATGAAGGATCCTTTTATGTTCATTCCTTGTCAGGAAAGATCGATTTTTTCTGAAGCAAAACATTGACCTTAAAATCATCTTTAAAATATAGCACAGGAAACAATTAACAGCTCTTCCTTCCCTGTGCTGTTTAGGTAATTTGACAATTTTAGGGAGGGCTGGGGGGCAAAGTATTCCTTGGCTATTGAAAACAGATACAGCTGTACTGCTGTTACATCAGTGTTACTGGGAGTGTTCCCATGGTTATGATGGTAATATGTAATATCTGCCCTCCTACTGCTCTGCGAAAGCATGAGCCATTTCTAAGTGGAGCTCTCAGAGGTGGTGGAAGGCAGACAGATGACATTGCTATGAGGGACAGTGAAAGAAAAACATAGTCCCAGCTGGAACAACGGCTGCACATTGTCCCGGCACCAAGTGGTGTTAATGAAAGGGTGTGGGATGCCGGCATCCTTTATTGCCCCTGGTAAATTGGTATGTGGATATGTAATGATTCTTCTAAAAACAGGGGAGAAATCCAATGAAAGATGACAACATTCATCTAAGGGACATCAAGCTGTGAGAAGCCGGTACCATTGTGATGTCCTGACCTGTCTTGCTGCCACCCTCACTGGGCAAAGTTGTTCAGCCTAGAAAAGAGACTGGGAAGAATATACTTTGTTCTCTTTCCGTGGTGAATGAGAATTAGAAGTAAAGAGCTTAAATTGCAGGAAGGAACAGCTATGTCAAACTGTAGGAAAACATTTCTAATAGGATGGTAAAGAATTGTAATGGCACACCCAGGGAGGCTACGGCATCTCCAGTGCTGCTCTCCAGCCAGGCACACTTCTAAGGACACGTTAGAAAAACGTCTGTGAGAGATAACACAGGCATAATTACTGCCACTGCAAGAATCATTCAGTGTCTGTGCTCAGGTATCTCTCCAGCCTAAGCATGTTCAGCCACCACGTCCTGCTCTGCTATCTGCCTACTCTCCCAGTTGCAGCCTCACATCAATAAGACCTTGTTCTGTCCAGTAAGTACTGCCACCAGCAAGCCACAGGCCAGATGTCACCGCTTAGGGCAGGATGGTGGACAAACTTGTCTTCCCAGGCCACTGCCAGCTCTATTCTTCTATGATATCTCTAATTTTCTTCAAGAAATCGCAATCCTTTTCCTTGGTTGATCCCCCACTAAGGGTGAAGATCTGCACTCTATTTACTGATCATTAAATCCATGCCCCTCAATATGGTAGTGGCAGCAGCGTTCAGGCCATGGGATGGGCTGTAGGTTAAAAGTACAGAAATGCAAGCAGTCTCCCCAAACAGTGCTAATTAAAGTGGAGATCAAGATTCCTCAACCCTCAGTTAAAGATACAGTGGTTGTTCATCACACCAGGTAGTGCAACAGAAAGGCTGTCCTGAATTAACTCCTCCTGCCTTCTGCCTGCTCTTTGGCAAGGCATTTATTTTCTCCTCAGTGCTTTTGCTCCCCTTTTGCAGGATGGGATAAACAAGCTTCTTAACTGCACCAAGACACTGTGAGAGCAGACAGGATCAGGTACTACCTTTGCCCATAGAGAGTTTTACCTTTAGCTGCTCTCAAAGAAATACGAGCCCAGCTACATTCTTGGTTTCAAACTTATTTACAGAGGGTTTTAGCTGAGCATGCACTGAAATCCATGTAACACTCTTCATGTCTTATATGGAATCTATCCTTTAACTCCAATTTGCTGCTAATGTACAACCTAGAGAACAACACCTGCAGGTTAGCAAAATATTTTATTATACTGAAACATACTGTACATATACAAGAGCCAATGGTTACATTTTATCTGTCCCATAAAACCAAAAATATCTTTATCATAGAATCATAGAATCACAGAATCATAGAATGGTTTGGGTTGGAAGGGACTCTCAAATGTCACCTAGTCCAACCCCTCTGCCATAATACTTTGCATTGGCTTAAAAAGTTAATACTAATAGAGATAATTTCACTATTAAAAATATAGATATATGTAAGGTTTTCTATTTATTTTGTTCTATATTAGAAAGGCAAATTTTGGGTTAGTGATATGGCTTAAATATATTAATATTTTCCCTCTGGGGAGCTTGTCTTCCCATCTGGATAGAACACCCATGGAATGCGTTCAGAAATCTCTTTCTATGTGACAGCAGGTTATCAACCCACATTAGATAGAAATTCAGCATGTTCAACCAGAGCCCCTGAGCCAGGGAAGAGAGGGGTAGTCTAGGATGCCTGTTCCTGCATCTTAAAATTTCTTCTGTATATTTTCTTCCTATTTTTTCCTCTGCATAATCCCAAGTTTGTCCTCTCTTGTTTTAACCATTACCATAGTAATGAAGAGATTGCTATTGTATCAAAAACCTCATTTTAGCTTAGTGGAATTAATCACCATGGCTGCTGCTTTAAGTTCTGGGAGAAGGGAAGGAGAGAGTGACTTCAGAAAGCAACTCAGAGTTCCTCCATTAGGACACCTGCAGTGAATTACCTCCTGGAGAAATCTCTCTCTCTCCACTGACAACAGCGGAGGCCCAAGAAGACTTGGCTGGAAAAAAACATTAGCCCTTGTGAATCCTGAGTAGGTTCATTAGAGTCCTACAGCATCCAAACCTCATACACACTGCAACCTCCACAGATGTCTGGAGCTGCTCTCTCAGCCAGAGTCAGTCATTTGCTCTTCTCCCCAGGGGCCAGAGATGCACAGTGTTGAGTGTTTGCAGTCCTACAAGCTCTCTTGCAAGTTGGCATTTGCGCAAGAGCAAAGGCAGCAGGTTGTCAGGCTTAGCTGGGATTTCAGTGTTTCTCTGAGCTACAGAGGAACTGTTACCTATACCTAACAGTTCCTGGTTATAAATTACTGAAATACCAGTCAGGGAACAAAGGGCTGCTACAAAAATGCACAGGATAGAAGGAAAATGACCTTTCCAGTGAGCTGAAATACGCTGCCTAAAATGACAGGAACAGCATCCTGTCCTGCCTCAGACCACTTGTTGGACACTATTCACCGTTGCCATGCGTGCAGCACGCTGAACGTTTTCAGTCAGGACTAAACCAGCTGAAACTTTACCATGTTGATACTAAAATAGTAGTAGACAATCTGTAGTGCTATGTCCTTGTCCACGTTCCCTATAAAACCCTGAAAACCTAAGGCAGCTCTCCATGTGATGGTACACAAATGAGCACTGTGACAGCAATTCTTGCTACCGCCACTCGAGCTCCCTGGGAGTTTAGGCCAAGAAGGCATCATTACATTTCAAAAATAAGCATGTTCAAAAAAGACTTGTATCTTGGCTGTTGACAGATTCATTTTCCTGGATGTACTGGAGAATGTCCACTTCATTCATTGTCTGAATCCTGTTTTCCTTCGGCTTTGCCAGTGGGGATGAATTAGTGCTCCTGGGGGCAACTGCTGGCTTCCGAGGCAATGGCGGCTTTGATGGAACCTTAGGTTTTGGTTTGGACGTTACTTTCAAGAGTTTCTCTAAATCATCTTCAACTCTGGAATGAGAAGAAAACATCGGTGACATTTTGGGAATCTCTGGACTGCTTTTTGTTTTGTAAGAAACATTCTGCAAGAAACTTTCTGCAGGAAAGGATCAACTTCGATGGATTTTCTCTTTTAAGAAGAGCTTTCCATAAAAGTTTCAATGCTACCAAAGTAAGAACTGTCTTTTTAAAATAAATAATGTGATTTTTCAGTTCACCACAAAAGTTAATTAATTTTACAGCATGTTTTCAAATGCCTAAATTAGAAGCAATTTGCAACTCTCAAATTAAAAAAAAACTTGGTTTGGGAAAAAAAAATTTGCTTTTGCTCTGTGTCAGGATGGTTTGCTTCCTCAAGAGCTCAGGAATTTTCATGGGATAGTAAAATTTTTCACATTCAGCTCTGCTTCCTCTTCATCCCCATCCCCCAAGACTGAGACTGAGCATCTCCTATGCTCAGTCATGAGAAACTGGAAAATCTAATGGTTTTAAAAACATTAAATTCACATTTGCTTCCAGGAAACTGAAGGAGTTTTGCAACCTGTAAGCATATACAATAACTCTTTTTTGGTGACTATTTCACTAGGAAATAGACCTGTTGACCATAGAATGGTTTAGGTTGGAAGGGACCTTAAAGATCATCTACTTCCAACCCCCTGCCATGGGCAGGGACACCTCCCACCAGACCAGGTTGCCCAAAGCCCCATCCAGCCTGGCCTTGAACACTTCCTGGGATGGGGCATCCACAGCTTCTCTGGGCAACCTGTTCCAACATCTCACCACCTCACAGGAAAGAAATTCTTCCTAATATCTAATCTAAATCTCCCCTTTTTCAGTTTAAAACCGTTACCCCTTGACCTATCACTATAATCCCAGATAAAGAGTCCCTCCTCATCTCTCCTGTAGGCCCCCTTTAGGTACTGGAAGGCTGCTATAAGGTCTCCCTGGAGCCTTCGCTTCTCCAGGCTGAACAACCCCAACTCTTTCAACCTGTCTTCGTAGGAGAGGTGTTCCAGCTCTCTGATCAGCTTCATGGCCCTCCTCTGGACCCATTCAAACAGGTCCATGTCCTTCCTGTGCTGGGGGCTCCAGAGCTGGATGCAATACTCCAGATGGGGTCTCACCAGAGTGGTGTAGAGGGGTAGAATCACCTCCCTCGACCTGCTGGCCATGCTCTCTTGCAGCCCAGGATATGGGTGGCTTTCTGGGCTGCGAGTTGGCACATTGTTGGCTCATACCCCAAAACACCTGAAACATTTAAGTGTTTTTTCTGCTTGGACTGTTTGACCTTATCAAAAGACACATCATGCTGTGCGGTCCCATTGAATCTGCTAAAACATTCCGAGAGAGTGCCTTTAACAGATAGTCTTGTGACTCCCAAGAGGTAGCTGCCTTTGGAAAGTGAGTATGCGAAGGAAAGAAGGCTGTGACACATCACATCTCTAAAAGACATAGCAGAGATGGAAAAATCAAATTTAGCATAGCTAGAGAAGTCTTTACAGGCCACAGGAATTTGTGCTCTGACTCAAAATAGCCTCTTGCTTTGGTCCTCTGGGCCACTGTCTCAGAGCTCTGTACCTTGAACTCTCTTCTTGTGGACTTTGCATTCCAGCAGGCAGCTCCTGCTGTTGCCTCAAATTTCATGCCCGAAGTAATTCTGGAAATTATATTCCCTTTTTTTTTAGATAATAAGATGATTGCTGACGTCTCTTAGTTTCCTTGATTCCTAGTGGATGACATATTCCACCTAACTTACACAACACCTTGTCAGTGTATTCCTTCCTTCTGAATTCCTCATCTACATAGAAGAAATTAATTTAATTTAAGCCCAGGCATTTTTGTTTGCTGCAAATTCTGATATCCAAGAGATACCACACCTGGGATCACATTGCCAAGACATGTTCTTTTTCTCTTTGCTGTGTAATAAACAAAACATGTTAGGGCTGGTATTTCTGAAGCCTAATTTTCTTTACCTGATCTGCTGCCTTCCTCCTTGGCATAAACAAATGCTGAATGAATCAGTGTCCATGTCATAAAGTTTTGGTCATAAATAACAGAAACCATAATAACCAGATGAACAATACATACATAAACCTACAGATCGTATACGGAGGAAGCATTTTGAACTAGGTGCACTGCCCAGCAGGGGCAGCAATAAATAAAGCTCATTAACCTGATCAGATGGTATAACCTCCTGAATTCTCTGCTCCTGTGGGGCTCTATATTAATTTCTGTGCTAACCACAGCAACAAAACTTACTCAGTACAGTCATAAAATACCCCAAAAAGATGCAGTCCAGTAGGCTGTGGGGTTTTTTTGGGGGGGTAGTGGTGGTGTTTTTATGGTAGTGTGCTTTCAGGCCAAAAATTCTATAGGAGATCGTTTTTCAAAGACTGGAAGCTGATCATGTAAATCTCTTTTTTTCGTCCTGGATTTTTTAAAGACCTTGGTTATACAGAAGTCTTTTACAGAGAACACAGCAGATAATACGTGGTCTTTGTCTCAAAACCTGCTTTTCAGTGCTGCAGTGATAGGCAAACTGTTTGATCCACTGCCATTTGATCATATGAAACACAACTGTCTTTGGAAAACTAAAGAGGTAAAATGCAAAACGCCTCAGGCAGAGATAGAAACAAGGACTTCTATTTCTTGAGAAGCAAATGAATTGTTACAGTGCGTAACTACCACCATATTTAACTTCAGGCCAGGAGGAGGAAGAAAAAAATCAAGCCACTATTCTGAAATAACAAGGATATTAAAGGAAGAACCTTCCCAACCCCCCATCTTTTTATAGACAATCAGGCACAGAATCCATGTAATTAATCATTCTCTAATTAGTCTCTTTCTTTTTCTGTAATGGAAAAGCAGTGCCACATTGTTTAAAATTTCTGCCATACTGTTGTGCTGATTCACATACTCTATTGGTGGAAAATCTCTTTGTTTCCAGACAGAGAAAGCAATCAAAACCTCACTGAAGAAAGGCTGTCACAAAGCCCTATGATATGACTGCTGGCATGTGGACTTCAACAGAGTTAACGAGTTCTCACTTGGAGATGGATGCAGCTGCCATCAGAACATCAACATTTTAGATGCCGCTTCTCTGAACTCTGTCCTGTCTACCTGGACAAGATCTTTGGGACAGGAATGACTATGTACTATGCATATGTACTATGCATGTACTATGCATGTACTATGCATGTACTATGCATGTACAGCATCTGGCATCGTGGGGACAGTGACGCATGTACAGCATCTGGAATCGTGGGGACAGTGACCTCTGCTTGCTGGGAGCATCTGGCATCGTGGGGACAGTGACCTCTGCTTGCTGGGAATGCTCTGATGAGGAGAATTGGTAATGAAAGCAAATGACAAAGACTCCCATAGTTTGCTGCAGTATCCAAAAGGCTCACGCTTGAAGCTAGGTTATGCAACTCACAGCAGTTCTTGCAGAACAGACTTTTATCTTTCCCTATCTTATTAACGTCTATATTTTGTCTGGTGTTAATTCCAAGTGTGAGAGATGCTTTAGTGAAGCCTTGAGGGAGAGGTGTAATATCACATCTACCACTTGGGAAAAGACTTGTGCCCAAAAATAGGAAGGAGGCGTTGAAGTATCTCTTGACCACCTCTTCTGCTATGGACAGTAGAGCCAGTGTGAAGTCTAACAAGGCCCGTGGAAATTATAAAGGCTGGAGTTAACCATGGGGGCTGTGCAGCAGGTATCTCCCTTCCTGCTCCTGCAGTCCATTACAGGTAACTTTAACCAGTGCCAGGAAATATGTCTGGGCAGCGGAACGTGAGAGTCTGTGCTGTTGAAACGTTAGAAGAACCACCGGCACAGCTTTGGTCTAGAGCAGATTAGACCTCCTCCAAAAAACTCTCAGGCACAACCCGGAGCTGGTGCGGGACAGGGACCATCCCCAGGAGGCAGCTGCATGCAGTCACCTCCTTCTGCAGCTGGAGAGACTCGAACAGCACGGATGCAGCCCGTGGTGCTGTTTGGCCAAGGGCCAGAGAACAGGTTCATTAGTACAGGCAAGTCCTACACACATATGCCCACAAGAAGCCCTCTGAGGAAAACTGCCTACAGTTTAGATCACTCACCCAGGAAATGAGACAATTCGATTTTTACAATTTGAACCAGGGAGCTGGTTCAATTTTTCCCCAGCCTGAAGAAGCCCAAACCTCTGTCTCCTGCTTCTCTAGAAAGTTCCCAAATCCAGGCAAAGGCTTAGTTGGAGCAGGGAAGAACAGGCAGCTTTCACCCCTCAGCTGAAGATGGCTGTCAAAAATGGAAGGAATCTAGGGCAAGACAGTTGAAATCTGGTGATCCTCAAGCCTAGCAAAAGCATCTCTTGCATCTCTTAGGAGAGACAAGGCCTCTAGGTCACCTTTCTGTGTTATTCTATACAACCCATACAACACGTTCCTAGAGGCAGGGCAAGAATTAATGTTTCCTGTGTGACAAAAGCCTTTCTACTCTGTTGGTCAAGTTTACTTTGTAGCTCTTCCAGTATTTGCAAGTAACACCTATTATATATCACACAAAAAATTAAATTAGCAAAATAAATGGTTGAAAATCATCCTAGAGAGTGCTCTTGGACAGCAAAGAAAACCCACCAAAAACTGGTAGAAAAAGAATTTGTTTACTGAAAGCTACTGCAGGCAAATGAAGGTTCTTGCCCCATAGTCAGGTCACAACAAGCCTTAAGAGAAACTGCCCTGGAGTGGTCAGGAAATTTCTGACTCATATTGCAGCCTCCTCTACCACCTGTCCATCAGCAAAACAACCCTCTAGATCTAGGATCTAGATTTAAACCCTCTGGAGTTTCTCAAAGCTCTTCTCCCAACTATGGTGCTGCTCTCATACCCTCACAATAGCAAGAAAGCATTTCTCATCATGTGGTGCTGGAGGTGGTGTCCCATATGACTCCAGGCCAGTCTGAAGATGTATGTGTTGCTCCCCAAATTCAGCATCTGCTAATGGTCTGCTGAATGAAGAACATACAAACTTTTGCTGCTTCAAGGGTGGCAACAGTTCCTTGGCAAACCTGAAGCTAACAAACCTGTTCAAGAAGCTGGATGGACTGAACTGTCTTTAGAAATGGCCATTGCTAGGATGTGGTTTCACAAACAGCTTCAGCCTCTAACAATATAATTCTCCTGAAAGGGTCATTGCATCATTAATGGCACAGCTCACAGCTGAAAATACAGATCAACCTGTAAACACACACAAAACTCTTCTTTCAAGGGCACGGGCAGCATGATGCAGCTGCAGCACAAAGGTAAGAGCTGGACTGTCCCCTTCACCACCAAAAGTCTTGGATCAGCATAATCCTAAGAAAGAAAACACCAGGTCTACCATCACAGGGCAGCAGAACAGGGATCCTGCTGCTGACACTGTTCTCAGCACTGGATAAAGCAAAAATCTTATACTGACAGCTGCTTCCTTCCAGTTCAACTCCCTATTCATTATCAAAGGTGAAGTTAATTAAATCTCTCCTAAAAAGATGCTCAGACAACTGCGATAATGATTTCAGGCTAGGATGTGTGATAATTAATGTAATTCTGTGGGCCCACAGAGCTGCTGCAACATTCACAGGATCAATTCTAACATTGGTTTTCCACAAAAACCTGATCCATCACACCAGGCAGGCACAATTTAGATTAATGAGGCAGAAGAGGTCGACTGCAGTCTTGCTGCATGAAAACTTAATTTGCACATCGGTGACCACTGGGTGTATGGAGATGAGAAAATGAGACTGCACAATGGGAGAGTCTGCAGGATGGTTTCTGCAGAAATTAGCTTCTGTCTCTAGTTTAAATGGAAATCAGACCTGAAGAGAAGTTTTGAGTGGAGGTAAATGGTTGAATCCACATCCAGAGGAATCTTTATAAGGTATGATGATGATGACCCAGGAAAATGAGAGGAGAAAAGAGAAGCCTGGACCTATATCCATTCCCAAAGATAATTCTTTTAACATCTGGAAAAGAGTTGATTAGCTACCCTTTCATCCCATTGCAGTTGGTCTCCTTGAAAGATTCAAAAGCAACAGGACCCAGGACTTCTCAGAAGAGCCTGGATTCTTCCATATCCCTGTGGTGAAGAGATATTTCAAAAAGACTTGGACTTAGAGTAAGGTAGGTCACCTAGTTTCTCCATCACCATCACTTAGTACTTGTTGGTAGGCTGAGAAATTAGTAACCAGGAAAAGGCTGGTCAACACACAGGAAGATATTTATTTGAATGGTCATGGGCATTTTGCAATAAAAAGAAATCTTTCATTATACTTACAAAGCAATTGGTTCTTCTCAAAGCTCAACAGTCCTTAATGTAAAGTAGGTGATTCTATTTAAAATAATAATTCTCATTTCATTGGAGCAGGTATTCACAGAGAGCAGAGTCTTCAGTTTGCAATGAGAACATTTATGATATTCTCTTCTCCCTCATGTTGTGACAAGCACAGCCCACGCACATTTTGCAGACTCATTTGTCTCTATAACAGTCTCTTCCTCAAGAGTTACAAGTCACTGCTGGGGATTCACTGCTGTGCTGACAGTGCTGTGGTGCTACTGCTGCTACAACCACTCCATAAAGACCACAAAGGACTTGGTTGCTCTTGTGTTCTGCTCTGAACATCGTCTTTTTAACATCTCCCCCTTGGTACAAGAAGGTTCTGCCTTTCTCTGCCTGGAAGAGGAAGACAAGAAACTGCAACCAAGAAACTTGTTGTCACAGCTTCCACTTTGAGCTTCAGTCCCCTTTGAGAGACAAGAGGGATTATTGACATCTACAGGGCAAAGGCAAGATTTATTCTTAGGCCTCAAAATATGTTCAAGCCTCCATGCTAGAGAGGTTGCAACGTTCAACTCACGTTGAATATTTTTTCTCACCACAAAGGGTCACTGCATGGAAAAGAGACTGTGACACTGCCCTGCAAGAACATGTAACACCAGTCTGGTGGTAAGGGAAGGTGGGAGATGATTCAAACATTGCCTCTACATTAGACCTGACAGTTCTGCTAAGGCTTCCAGCAAAACAGAAAACAACGTGCGCTGTTCATTACCACTTTGGAGAGTTCAGCTACAGGATTTCAGGTGATTGCAATGAATTTACACACAGGAGAGGTGAAACATTCTTACTAGGTTAAAACAGCACCTCTACTCTTCCCCCCTTTAACAGCTTCTCCTTGCAATTCTCTGTCATACGCAGATAACACCGTGAACTGGGTTTATCAGGGGGGTTTCACAAGGTGTCAGACACCTGAACAGGTCAACAGATCCTAATCTATCCACCTACACCTCTTACACAGCCTCTGGATTCCTGTAGCAACTTTCCCATTGGACCGCTGGCATGATTTTCTGCTTTGTTACACATCTTCATTTCCAACAGGACCTTGACAACTTGTCAACTACTGAAAGCACTGGGACAATTCAAGAATAAATGAAACCTAATGGAATTTAAAAGAAATGGAATCTTTTCCAATGAGTTTCCCTTACCATCTGTGTGTGCTGCTAACACTGATGACCCCAAACTCATCTAAAAGCATGTCTCTTGGTCTCGGAGCAGACTTCAGAGACCCTTCTCTGCCACAGAGGAAGAGAAAACATATAATCCAAAGGATTAATGTGACAGATGGAGAAGCTCTCTCCACTTATGGATAATAATGCAGGGACTGTACCAAAACAGGCGCTTCTAGCCATATGAACAATCTGGATGAAGCACTGTATGCTGAGATTGCTAGCAGAGGAGAAAGCAAACATGAAAATATTGCAAGCACATACGTGTTTGCTCCCAATATACCATAGCACTAAATCAGGTCATGTCCTGCCTCATCAGCTTCTATAAACATCAGGTGGGCTGTCAGGATGTAATGTGAGATGGCATCCAACCCAATTTAACCTCTGTTTAAATTAAGTTAGGTTTTACTGCTGAGATAGCTAGCACTTTTGCATGCGTAGAAAGCAGCAGCAGCAAAACTACCTGCTTCAGGAGAGCTTTGAAAGTACACATAGATCTCTCTCCTGGGTTTAGTACCTGCTGCGGAAATCATACATCCTAACAGAGGCTGGCTGGCAAGAATTAGCACTGGAAGCAGGTTGGCCTCATCATTCAGATGCCAGCCTGAGATACAGAAAACATGAATTTGACATTTTACTGCAGCACAGATTCCCTGGTGATGATGGTCTCTCTGGGCATTGACTCTTTGCTTCATCTCTTGAGCATTACCAGTGCAAAGAAACCAGCCTTCTGGGAGGAATGTCATGAATAAAACACATTAAGTGATGATATGTTCCAGCACTACACTAATAAGGGGGCAGGTAAGTGTAAGAGAAAGTACATTATTCCTTCCTGTAACTGTGAGCTCCGGCCCTACTTTCCATTAGATTAAAAATTAAATGCGGGGTGATTAATAACAGTCCTTTACAGCTGTGCACAGCATTCCTCCTGAAAGTGGGCAGAGAGGTCTGTGAGCCATCAGCAGAAAATTATTCCTCTTGTGGCAACAGGCAAGAGCTCCTGATTTCAGCTCACTGAAGCTGAAATCCTCTTTGTTTCTGGGCTTGGTTTCTCACTTTTCATAGTGGAGGTCAGTTTTCACCCCCCATGGATCGCCTGCAGAAAGGGAAAGTGCCATGGTAGAAAACAGGCACTAGATAGCATGCCTGAGGCCTTCAAGACCCTTCCTTTGGCGTCTCAGAATAACACCTTGCACCCTACCTTTCTCAAAGAAAGGGTCTTCCTAATCTCCTTTTTAATGTGTTGGACTTTCAAGCTCTATAACATTTATCTTACCTTTCACTTGTAAGTACAAGTATTGATTGACAGTTAACATTCAAAGTATTTAAGCTTAGCGCTCAAATTCATCTCTTTTGAGGTCTAAGTAACTCTTCAGATCACTTCATCCTACATGACAGATTGGAGATGTGTACCTGAGCAGTTCCTCGGTGTCCTCCTCAGGACCCGTGTTCAGCACATACTCCCTGTTCTGGCAGGCAGTTGGCAGCAGCAGTGAGTCACCCAGTCTTACCACCCCACCAAGGTCTGGATCTTCAAATAACTTCAGATCTAGAAAGGGGAACCAGAAAATGCTTTAGTTAAATCCTGCTACATAACACAACACGTGCATTAACACCAGCTAGTAAATCTGGCTACTGGGCTGAGAAAAAAAGATCAAGTAGACAACTCTTTTTTTTTTTAAACAAGGACTTCCAATCCACAAAGCACAGGGGTACTCTGCACTCCTACGACTTGGTAAATCTACTTTCTTCTTGCACTCAAAAGTAGGTCACATTATTCTTGTTAGTGTGGCATGAGTGACTACGGAACAGCCAGCTCCCACACACCTACAATATCCAAGCCCAAAATGTCAACAGTAAACAGCTACGGGAACTACAGGTCTTATTTACTCTTTCTGAATGATTCTAGAGGATTCTGCCCCAGCTGAAGATATGCCTTAACATTCCCAAGTCATTATTTAGCCTGTATACTCTATATCACAACATTTTAAAAGCTCAGTTATACATGTGCTTTAGATAAAACAATCTCTGTATATACAAATATAGAACAGATTTACTCTCTTTCATCTTCTTCCTGTGACCAATTAATGAGACATTTTTTTCTGGGCCAAAGAGTCCTTCATCTGGATCTATTTCCTCTTCAAAAATGGTTAATTTGGGCTTCTCTTCCTTGGTCGGAGGAGCAGATACCTTCTTTGTTTTTTTAGTTCTAAAAACACAAAAGACAGAAAAGTCAGCTGCAATTCTTCATTTAACAAAAAGATTTATGGCTAGAAAGTCTCATAAACTGAAAATAGATGGAGGCTGGGAAAGATTTAGAGAAAGGTACATTGGCATCTTTCAGTTGCTGGCAGGAACAGGATATTGAGGAGGGACAGTTGATCTGATGTACTCTACCTCTACTCATGGTTTGTATCCCTAAGGACTACCAAGGAACCCAATGGGAACTGGAAGAGCGGGGCTAACAATGCTGTACTGTGCAAACTACCACCTCATCCCATTTGTTTTAAGCAGTTTTACTCCTCCCACACAGAAAGCTTAAAATAAGAAGAGCAGTTCCAGCAACACTGTCAAAGACAGACAGAAAAGGGATGGCTTGAAAAACAAAGTGCAGGTTGGACCATCTCACTGATCCCTTTGGACAGGTCTTCAAAAATCTCTTTGGCTCCATTTCCATGCCACAGCCTGTTTTTGAATGCTGCGTACTCCTTGCATAAAGGTGTTAGCCATTCCCCCCATCCTCCCCAGAGCAGACACAATATGAAGACTACATCACCTTTAAGTTGAAGCAAGCAGGGACTGGAATATAATTAGTTGGACAGACTGCTATTTGCAGAATTTACAAATGCCACTCAGTATTTTATAGAACCAAGGACAGAATTAACTTCCTCTAAATTTAGTCTTCTAAAAATTTGACAGTGAGACAAAGTTAATTTTTAGGCTTCTTCTCAGCTCAGTGGAAAGAGACAGACATCTCCATAGGACAATTAATCCCATCTATTTTGAACACTGATATTTGGATGCAATAAATCTCTGAAGACGTCCTCCTCTCCCCCCGGCTGGAGAAGGAAGCTAGAAACTAGTTTGGATTAGAGGTGTCATTTGCACATGGCTTAAACAAGGAGAGCTGAATCACCTTCCAAGAATGAAGTGAAAAGTGTGTGCCTCATGCTTTCATACCTAGGAGTCACGTTCCGCTGGCTGAAGCTACAAGACAGCTTCATAGCAGGGCAGCTTGAGTTACGAGGCAAACTAGATAGCATAAAAAAGACAATTTAGAGAAGAAGACAACAATCTTTGGATTAAAAATCCAATTCAAACTAACCTGAAAGAGAAGCATTCCTTAGGATAGCATGTCCTTCCTAAGAAATTGCCATATTTCAGAGATCTTTACTCTTAGTCACGGCCTCGTAATTTCTAAGGAAGCCCCTTTGAGTGCCTCTTACAATAGAAGATCTTCTCCTTTCCAGAGAGAAGGTCAGGTTTCAGCCTAGAGCAAACCCAATTATCAGCACTTAACATGCCATAGTCATCAAAAACTAAGAACAAGGTCAAAAGATTACACATACATTCCAACTACATTAAAGAATCTTGTAAAATCCTCTTCCGATTACAGCTGCACACAAAAGAGTGGAGTCCAGTTACTTCCAGTTATTTTCACAAGTTTATTATCACCAAAATAGAACTCATGGATGATATTACCTTGCTACCACCACTTCATCTCTTAGCAATGGGAAATGCTGCACTTTAGAGGCCTAAGAGCAAGCCCCATCCAGAACTTAAATACAGCCTTGTTTGGAAATATACCCTATTCAATACACTAACGGTATCTGCAGTTGACAGAGACTAATTTGCAGAACTATTTATGATACAAATCTTCTTTTAAAACAGGAGAATCTTCCACAGATGTCTTTTTTTTTTTTTTTTTTTTTTTTTTTTTTTTTTTTAAAAAAAAAAAAAAAAAAAAAAAAAAAAAAAAAAAAAAAAAAGTTCTAGGAAAAATATTAAACCC